AAATTCACTCGAAAAGCAAAACGCCCGCCCACTGACTTATTCTGCCAATCTCGCAGCCCCAAATAGGCCTCTCCTTCCTTTCGTTCACCGCCATTCTCCTTCTGTCCGCCGCCGTTTTCTCCATAAATTCGAGAAGGACTACAAATTTACGAAGCACATCAAGTAAATTTCATTAATTTTCTCATTTTTTTGTATAAATTTGATAAAAGCTTAGATTTTATGGGTTTGAGTATTATAGATGTTGGGTAGTTGTTGTTTGATAAAATTTGTTTATGTTGATGATGAAATTGGTTTAGGTTTTGTGATTTTGAGTAATATAGGCGTTGGGTTTTTTGTTTTTCTTGATTATGTAGATGATGAAATTTGTTTAGGTTTTGTGATTTTGAGTAATATGGGTGTTGGGTTTTTGTTGGTTATCTTGAATTTGTTATGTAGATAATGAATTTTGTTTATGTTTTATGATTTTGAGTAATATGGGTGTCGGTGTTGGGTTTTAATTTTTTGTTTTGAGTTATGTGTTTAGGTAAGTGAGATATTTATTATTTGGTTTTTTATGTAGCAATGGATAGGAAATGGATGTTTACAAATAGGTTGAGTAATGAATATGAGGAAGGGGTTGAAGAATTTATTTATTTTGCAAAGAATACAATGAAATGGAATATTATTCGTTATCCGTGTGTGTAATGTAGCAATATTAGAAGACAATCGATGCAAGATCTTAGATTCTATTTGTTCTAATATGGCATTGATCGGACTTATTAACCATTGATTTGGCACGGTGAAGTGGTTTCAAGTTCATCTTTGGCAGTTAGGGGAATTGAGAGGAATGTTGTTGATATTGGGCATGGAAATGATAAAAGTAATATGATTGATATGATTAATGATGTGGAAGAAGAATTTGTGCACCGATCGGAGTTATTTGATAAGATGATGGATGATACGTAGACACCATGGTATAGTGGGTGAAAGAAGTATACCAAATTGTCCAGATTAATAAGATTGTGGAACTTAAAGGCATCGGGTGGGTAGTCAAATGTAAGTTTAACAGGACTTTTAGAATTTTTAAAAGATGCACTTCCGGTTAATACTCAAAGTGCCGAGTTCTATGTATGAGGCTAAAAAGACGTTGAGCTCTATAGAGATGAAATATGAGAAAATACATGCATGTTCAAATGATTGTGTGCTATATCAAAAAGAATGTGAAGACTTAGACGAGTGTTTGGTGTGCTATGAGTCTAGGTGGAAGAAAGGTAAGAAACCGTCCAATGGGAGAAAACGTGTGCTGGTGAAGGTGTTATGGTAATTCCAATCGAACTACGATCGAACTAAGGTGTTATGGTACATTCCGATCAAACTATGGTATAGCCGGAGCATGTTAAAAATTTAACTTGGCATCGTGATAAGAGGATCGACGATGGCATGCTATGACACCCCGCCAATTCTCCATAGTGAAAGGCATTTGATATAGAGAATCTTGAATTTAGTGCGAAAACTAGGAATGTCCACCTTACGTTGTCAACAAAGGTGTTATTGTACATTCCGATCGAACTATGGTACATCCGGAGCATGTTAAAAATTAACTTGGCATCATAATAAGAGGATCGATGATCTCATAGTATGACACCCCACTAATTCTCCATTGTGGAAAACATTTGATGCAGAGAATCCTGAATTTATTGCGAAAATAAGAATGTCCGCTTTGCGTTGTCGGCTGATGGAGTGAATCCGTATAGTAATTTTAGCAGCAAACACAATACTTAGCCCATCGTCCTTGTAAACTACAATCTTCCAGAGACTTGTGTATGAAGCGGAAGATTCTAAAGTTGTCCTTGTTGATTTCTAGACCGAATTAACTAGGAAATGACATTGATGTCTACTTAGCACCGTTGATTGATGAGTTGAGGCTATTGTAGGAAAGTGGGATGGAAGTTAACGATCATTTTCGTGATGATTCCTTCGTACTCAGAGCAATGTTGATGTAGACTATTAATGACTTTCCTGCATATGGAAACCTATCTGGGTACTCAGTTACCAATTCCGTAGGTTGCCCTATTTGCATAACAGAGGCACCTTCGATCCGATTGAAACACGGAAAGAAGACGGTGTACGGTGGCCATAGAAGATTCTTGCCTATGAATCATCATACCGCAAACAAAGAAAAGGTTTTAATGATAAAATAGAAGAAAGACCACCTCCAAGACCTTTGATAGGTAAACAAGTGTTTGAGATAGTCAATAACATAAAAGTTGTCTTCGGGAAGAAGAAAGGTACAAATAATGAGCCGGTGATCGAACCTTGGAATAAAAAGTTATTTTTCTTTGATCTTCCATATTGGAGTTCATTATTAATTCATCATTGCTTGGATGTCATGCACGTTGAGAAGAATGTTTGTGAGTCAATAGTTGGCACGCTACTTGGCATCCCTGGTAAAACTAAAGACGACCTCAATGCAAGGTTAGATCTCATGGAATTGAACATTAGAGGTGACTTGGCTCCTGAGAAAATAGGCTCCCGCACATATTTACCTCAGGCTAAGTACACATTAGAGAAGTATTTTTCATCATCATTCTTCGACATCATGATTCATTTAACAGTACATTTAGTCCGTGAAGTTAGGCTTTGCGGGCCAGTGTACTTGAGGTGGATGTACCCTTTCGAAAGGTACATGAAGATTCTAAAAGGTTACCTTAAGAATCAAAATAGGTTGGGGGGTTGCATCGTGGAAAATCACATAGCCGAAGAAGCTGTAAAATTTTGCTCAGAGTACTTGTCTAACGCGAAAGTAATTGGCATACCAAAGAAGGTAAACATGGAGCCAAATGGTAAATCTATCAATATTCCTTCCTCGGTTTCTCACGAAGCATGGGAACAAGCTTATCTCTACGTGCAATATAATGCTCGTGAGGTGGAGCCATACATACAAGTCTACAAAAAACAAATAAAGGCGGCAAACCTAAAAAGAGGGAGAAATGACAAGTGGTTGCAAGATGACTATAACTGGACATTTAGAGAGTGGATAATGACACATTTACTCCAAGGTTCGCACGTCGGGAAATGAAGGTGTGTCGGAAGACTTGTTTAAGCTAGTCGGAGGACCCTCGTCAATGGTAATGAAATATACATCATACTCAATAAATGGCTATAACTTCTACACTCGGGAGAGAGATGAGAAGCACCCGGTCTAAAATAGTGGTGTTAGTCTCCGTGCCGATGCTATGCATATTTCGTCTCCAAATACAAGAATCTCGTATATAGAATAGTGACCTACTAAGGTTTTGTGGAGTACATATGGGAACTTGAATATTGCGGATTGCGAGTGACACTTTTTGTGTAAGTGGGCCGACAATAATTATGTGAAAATCGATAGTGACGGCGCTACAGTGATTGACTTTTTGGCAACACAAGCAAAACAAGTTTTCTATACAACCGATTCCAATGATTTAGAGTTGTCCTTAGTTGTTCTCATGAAGTCAAGCCTTATTCGTGATGGAAAAGGGGATGAAGATGATTGTAACGACATTCCATCGGTGAGTAGAGGCTTAGCACCCATTGACGAGGTTGTCGTTTTTTATGACCGCTTAGATGTTGAATGGACATGGGTTGAAAATAATAGAAAAAGAAAAAATGATAAACTATATGTTGTTATAATTTATATGACATTTAATTAATATGTTGTTGTAATATTAAACATAAACTACATTTATTGATGTATTATTTAATATTTATAATTCATTTTTATTTAGAAATTTAATATTTTATTTTGCAATTATAATGGTTCTGTGAATTGTGACTAAAAAGCTGATAAAACATAGAATTAATAAGGGGACAACAAAAAAAGCTTGATTTTTTTATTTGGGAAGAACATATAACGATTTTTTTAGAAAACCGTCATTATAAATCTCAACATTAGACAACGGTTTTATAAAAAACCGTCGTCTAAAATGCGCGATGTTTATTATTGTTGAGATTAGATGACGGTTTATTAAGAAAACCGTCGTCTGATATAATTTTTAACGATGGAGAAAAACTGTCGTTATATGCCACAGACATTTAACGACTCGTGATTAGACGATGATTATTCTAACCATCGTCTAATCTTTTAACGACGATTATTAACGGTCGTTAAATATCAGATTTTTAATAGTGCCAAATCATTGTCTATATATTGAGAATCTTGGTATATACTTTCAGAAATATGGAGTGATGCCTATAAATGTTTATACATACATATATTTCTTCGTACTTATGCATTCATTATATAAGAAGATTCTGCCGTAGGGCATCCTAATGTAGGGCTCCATAAGACCAATTATATAGGAAGATTCTGTCCTAATGCAGGGCTCTCTATATATAAGACCCTTTATTGTAACCGTAAAACTTAAAACTAAATACTACATTTTATATGGCACCAGATAAAATAAAGATATCTTTGAAACCTTTATTGTTACATTTATTTTATGATAGTCTCATTTTAATGGCACAATTGAAATCTATAGGCTCCATAGTAGGATGTCCCCACAATAGAATTCCCCCATTGCAACGTACTTTGGTTTCACAAATTAATTGTTGAACCTTATGGGCATGTGCTTGCCAAATAAACCAAGAAAATTGTCCTTTACAAAAGGAAAAAAAGAAGTGAATAGAAATAATATATAAAAGTCTAGTTTTTCCGGCCATGGTTTGCACAGTATTCTTCTTAGTAACCCATCCCGGGATCCATACTAACCGAAAACGGTAATCAACCTTAGCACAATTACTATGATACCCCTCCCATTTTTGTTTTTCTTGTTTAATATGTTAATTCTTCAACACATGTTTTTTTTACATGTATAATTAAACTAACACCTTTCTTTTTCATTTAAAAAAAATAAAAAAATTGTTCTCCACAACAAAATCATCTTTTTTTTCAACAACACGTCTCTTGCTCTCTCTCTTTTCTATATATATATATAAACCTCTCTAGTCCCTCTCTCGTAGCTCTTAATAATATATCTCCCTTTTCTCTCTTTCTTCACTTTCTCAATTTTCCTTCAAAACAAGAGGAAAAAAAAAAGGAAAAATGGTGAAGTTCTCAAAGGAGCTAGAAGCTCAGCTAATACCGGAATGGAAAGATGCCTTTGTGAACTACTGGCAACTGAAGAAGCAAATAAAGAAGATTAAGCTTTCGAGAATTCCTAAACAACCTCATCATAATCATGATATTCCTCAAGACACCAATGTTGTCGGAGACTTTGGCCGTTCCATTTTCGACCCAGTTCGCTTCACCGCGAAGAAACTCTTCTCCGACAAGCTCTTCGATTCTGATCATCACAACAAAGCTGAGCTTATTCAGGTAACGAGTGACATATATTATATATATATATATATATATATAATTGAAACGTAATTATTAAAATTTGTCTATATATATGGTTTTTAAGTTAGAATAAATAGAACAAAAAAAGATTCCGAAATTTATGAAGCTTTTCTGGTACTTCCTCCTTTTCTGTTTCGGTCATGAGTTTCAGATTTTGTCTTTCTTTTTTCCTTTTGTTATTATTTTTTTGGTATAATTTTGCGTACAAAATATGTCCTGGCCTATCAGAAGAAAATAATTACCCCGTGACGTCATTTTCCGAGAAAATTTCTCCGGCTATTTCCGGTACTTCCCTTGTAAATGGGTTATAATCCCTTGTTTTTTTATTTTATTATTCTTTTTACGTACATAAGTCTCTTTCTCTACCTTGCACAGCTGACAGAAAAAGTCCCGGGGTGACACAGCCCTCCAAATTTTTTTAGGCTAATCACTGCCAATATATAGTTGATAATATATATATATATATACACACACACATATATATACAGGTCCAAAGTGGCTTTTTATGGTCGATCTTTCGGCACAATCATTTGTGCCGTGAATGTTTTGAACGCTAATTTAAATGTTTGCGTGGATCCCATTTATACGCATTTATTTCTGTCCTCCCACATAGGTTATATAACAGAAACATAATATATATGTGTGTGTGTGTGTGTGTGTGTATATATATATATATATATATTTGTTAAGAACAGTGGTTACGTTAGAAGTCATACTTCCTCATCTCCAACCCAATAAGCGTGGGTTTCGCGTGACAGGTTCTTAATTAATAAGCTACTGTAAATATAGTGTGTGTATATATATTTGATATTATAGCTTTTCACTAATATATATTTGTATAGATATGGTGTATGACGCCACAACGCAACTATAAATATGGAGTGTGAACAAATGTTGAACTAGTTTTGGCCATTATAGAAGCTTCAATAGAACCATAATATGTAGAGAAAGCCAAAGTTTTTAGAAAATAGGTCATATCTGAATAATGGACAGTTGGCGATTGTCACTAGGAAGACTTTTTTTTTTTCCTTTACACTTTCCTTATTTCTCGTCCTTTTTTATTTTTTGTTTTTTGTTTTATTCTTCTCTTTTGTTTGGATCAATTATCTCCATAACAGGAAAAGTAATTAAATAAAAAAATATTGCTAGCAGCTAGTAACACTGTCCTTGTTTTAGCTTTTGCACTTAATTTTTGAGTTTCTTATTCTCTCACGAAAGCCATATTGGAAAACGGTTGTAGGCGCACTTGAATCACGAAGTCATCGTGACAGGAAAAAGAAAAAAAAAAAACATTATACATCTAAACATATATATATATATATATTTAATAGAACCACAATGAAAATGACACTAGAAAACAAAGTGAAAAAGCAATACCATTAATATCAATATCATGATCAGTTTTGGCTATATTCTTTTGCTGCGCAGGTTAAGCGTAAAATCATGGAGAACGGTGAAGAAGAAGAGATTTATGAAACTGAGCTAGCTCAGTTATTCTCTGTAGAAGATGAGGTATAATATATAGCATTAATTTATAGACCCAAAAAACCCAAAAAAAAAAAAAAAAAAAAAAACAATACAAATTGTTTTGGCGTAAAAAAATTTACCACTAATAATTATTGAACTTTACGTGGATAAATTTAGTACGGTAAAATCGTAATAAAATTGAATTTAAATGGGTTGTTGGATTGATATATGCATATATAGGTCACGATTTTCTTTGAGAGATTGGATGAAGAGCTTAACAAGGTAAACCAATTTTATCGTACAAAAGAGGGAGAGTTTCTGGAGAGAGGGGAGATTTTGAACAAGCAACTTCAGATCTTGCTTGACCTTAAACAAATTCTCAAGGACCGAAGATGGAAGAATTCTCCATCAAAGCTCAACTCTTCTGCTAGTGTTCCTTCTTCATGGGCATCTTCTCCTCGGAGCTCTGATTACACCGGTGAGTGTTATTTATGTCTTTTCATTTTCCATTTTGTCGACTAATTAATTATTCATGACATATAAAAGTGAGAAATGTAATACGTTTATTTTATACGACAGTAACATTGAAAAGGAGTAACAATATGAAATGCAATTATTACCAATATTATTCTTTACCCTTTCAGTGTTTTTGTTATATAAAATAAATTAATATCATATTACGATCTAAGATAGCTAGTCCTTCTAAATACCAAAGCAATCCCATAGGCCATATATATGCTTTTATGAACAAGGGTAATAAAGTAAAACCCTTGGCAAGGATATTCTTTTTCTTTTATATGTACAAACTATCTGTCTCTGTTGCATATATATTTGATCTGCTCGTACGCAATTTATTGCATTCAAACCTATATTTAAGTGTATACAACTCCCCGGGAAAAATAAATAAATTATTTAACTAAAAAAATAAGAAAGAAACATGCTTGACTATTTTTTCTACGGAAGAAAGTCATCTCTTTAATTTTCACTACTTTTTTTTTTTTTGGTTTATTTGGGCTGATCTCAAATTATCTCAATTAATCAATCATGTCTTCTCTTGTACTGATTTTGAAAATTAAGGTCACATTTTTATTTATAACGATAATAATAATAACAATAATATTAACGATAATAATAACGATGATGATGACGATAATAATAACGATGATGATGATGATGAGGATAATGATAATGATAATGATAATGATAATGATAATGATAATAATAATAATAATAATAATAATAATAATAGTAATAATAGTAATAGTAATAATAATGATAATAATGATGATGATATATAATAATAATAACGATAATAATAATGATAATAACGATAATAATAATAATAATTATTATTATTATTATTATTATTATTATTATAATAATTATAATAATAATAATAATAATAATAATAATAGTAATAATAATAAGGTCATATTTTGATACTAATGGGTCGTGCGTAGACGAACTTCCCAGAACGGGAAAGAATTTAATCTTTTAATTTATTCCCATAAAATCATGGATGAGTTTTACAAGCAAGCCAAAAATGTGAGATTGCTCACTACTTTTTTTATATCAATTTTGCTTGCAAAATTTATTTTGTCTATGTATGATCTGAAAAGTGGCTCAATTTCAAAAACTTAGTTGGGGGTATAGAGATGGTTTTTTGCACTAATTAATAATCTAGATTGCTCATAAGAGTGTTTTGTCAGCGTTTTAGGTTAAATGGATAAACATAATAATGCTTACTAGATTTTGAGTAATCTAACCATAGCTAACTACGCGTAAAAGATTATTTTGCTTTTTTCGTATATGCCACTTTGGCTTTCAACATTATAAATGTCTAACTATTAGTCACTTTTTGTCACACTTTTGAGAAATACAAATTTGCCACGAATTCAAATCTTAGAGGATTTGTACTCTATTATTGTTTCATGGGAAATTTCTTCTTGTTTAAGAAAGTGATGGAACAAAATCTAGCTACCAGAGCTTGACTATACCTCGTTACCATCTTCTTTTTTTTTTTTTTTTTTTTTTCCTTTTTGTAATAAACAAGTGGAAGTTATTTTAGTAGTAAGATTTTTTACATGTATTAATTTGTATGTTAATTAACTGCATTGAAATTGTACTGCCAAAAACCTTTACTAACAATAATTCTAAATTCCAAAATTGAAATGTTAATTCCGTAGAGAGCGCAAATGATGATGAGTTGAACAAGGAGACTCCAATGGAGAGTTCTGAGACAGACGAGGCAATTGCGGCACTGGAAAGAAATGGATTGAATGTCTTAAACGCAGAATTGAGAACAAAAAGTAAGAAAGGGAAGCCTAAAATGGCTATGAGAATAGACATTCCGGCAACAACGCCAACTCGAACAATCTCAGCGGTCACTTCGGCGCTTTGGGAAGATTTGGTTAACAATCCCAGAAAGGAAGGCCATGGAGAGTACATTAACAGGAAGAAGATCCAGTGTGCTGAGAAAATGATTAGAGGAGCTTTCGTTGAGCTCTATAGAGGCCTTGGTTTGCTCAAGAATTACAGGTAATATATTTGTTATAATATGCACACTAAATTATCCCTACCTAATGTTTGATCAAGTGTAATTTTAAACTTAAACCTTAAGATTATCTTATGTAATTCAGGAACAAGAAAAAAAAAATAAAGTTTGAAACCCAAAAAAAAAAAAAAAAAAAAAAAAAAAAAAAAAAAAAAGGTTTGAATGGTTATTGATTGGTAGTTGAATATTGCACAGTTAAACCATGAGCTGCATATCTATCCAAATAATGTTGTGCTTCTAATAAATGAGAAAGTTGGTGATTATAAGCTCTTCTTTTCTTTTCTTTTTTCCTTTTCTAAGAGGAAATATATATCCCCAACAGTATTTAATGTGACGTTGTACTCCAGGATTATATATAAATAAAATTGTAGGAGAAATTTATTCGAAAAATAGAAAATAATTCTTTGTATCTTTCTTGTGTGCATTAAATGCTATTTAGTGTCCCGGCAACTTCATATATGTCAAATTCCAAGCGTTTGTTCAACGGAAAAAGTAAGACTACGGCAAGCATTTATGGAAGCATACATCATGGCCTAAATCATTAGATCTTGTTTAAGAAATAATGTACACTCAAATACATATACATAAATAACTAATAGCTCTCCAGTCTCCACTGAAATTCCTTAGATCAGTCTCTTTTGTTCTCTTTTCAAAATGAAAACATGGGTTTTGGATTTTACTAAAAAACAAGCGCTTTTCAACACAACTTTTCAAAAGCAATATCTGAAAATGCCCCTGAAAACGCTTTCGGTTTAAGGGGAGAAAAGCCGCATTAGTACAACTTGATCTGGCTGCTGAAAATGTGGCCATTGTATTTTAAGACATTGAAAACAATGAACTTAATTTAATTAGTGTTTGGAACCAATAGAAAAATTGAACCTTATAATTTGTTCCATCATCACTTTCGGATCAAAGAAATTAATTAACGTCTAAAGCTGACCATTTTGTGTTCTACAAATTGGCCTTTTCTATATTAGTTTTCTCTAAATCAATACATTACTATTCTAATCAAATTTTCATTTGTTATTGTTTGCAGCTCACTGAATATGGTCGCTTTTGTAAAGATTCTTAAGAAATTTGACAAGGTAATTAATTAAGTTGGTCATTAATACTTTATCAGCCTTATTTTTCTAATCAAAACATACCCATGCATTATAATGTGTATACATACATACATACATACATACATACACACACGCACACATATATACATATATACACATATTATAACATATGTTTTTTTTTTTTTTTTTTTAATGAAGAGCAAAGATCTTATATGTGGCGTTTTCTGCTACATCTATATTAGTTTTGTCTTTAGGCAGAAATCCAGGTCATACGCAAATATGAACTTGTATTCAAATTCAAGCTTTTGAGCTACAAAACAAAAAGGGTCTACAGGTTTTCCAGTGGGACTAATTGCATTAGTTAAGTGCCTGGATCCCTGAAATAACTTTGTCTTCCAAGTATGGAGTCACATGAAGAGTGTGAAACTCTAACAAACTTTTTTTTTTTTTTTTTTTTTTTTTGCTGTCCGCAAATAGAATATAATTACAATTATAACTAATGTGCTACACTTATTACGTCATTGTAGATCAATATTGGGCACATAGGATTATTAATGGAACCCCAAAAATTTCCTAAATTGGCGGGTTTATTTCGATGATCTATTCTCGTGTCATGAATTAATTTGTCCATAATTTCTATTAACTATATCCATATTTACAAATGGAAAGATCTAGAAAAAATTTTGCCTCATAATTATTTCTACCCTCAATTTGGCTTGCATAGTAATAATATTATTGCAATGTTACAAACAAAAGCTCTAAAATTCACGTATGTCAAGATTTTAAAGAGAAAATTGTTGAATTTTCTTTAGAGTATAACAATTTGGATTTTTTATTCATTACTCTTCATAAATACCCTTTTGACTAATTAATTATTTGACTAAAAAGATATTAATCAAGAAATTAAAAAAAATATATGTATGTACTAGCAGGTATCAAACCAACAGGCTTCAGCAAATTATCTCAAAGCGGTCAAGAGATCATATTTCATTAGTTCCGATAAGGTATGATGTTGTTTTACTTACACTTGCATTATAATTTAATTTAACGCAGATTTGGAGAATGGGTTTAATGGTTTTCTAATGGGGGATTATATGTGTTATTTGGTTGTTTTTGACAAGGTTGTTAGACTAATGGACGAAGTGGAGTCCATATTCATAAAGCACTTTGCCAATAACGACAGGAAAAAGGCCATGAAGTTTTTGAGGCCCCAACAGCAAAAAGATTCTCACATGGTCACTTTCTTTGTTGGTAAAACTCTCTCTCTTCCTCACCAAAGTTAAATCACCCTTTTTTTTTCTCCTTAAATCATAGTATAGCAAAGTCACAATTTCAAAAAAAAAAAAAAAAAAAAAACGACAGCTACGAAAGAGTTCACACTTTCACTATAATATAGTTTTTTACTGAAAAAATCCCAGATTTGTTTTAAGACCACCACTTTGAATTGTAATAATGCAGACATGATTAGTGTTGTGACCAAGATAAAAGCTTAAAAGCACCCCATTAAGTGACTAATGCTAGAAACCTGCTGGCCACTAATTTGGACAGTGGGAAATTGCTCTCAAAAAAGCTGTTGATTTTGGCAAACAACAAGAAATTAGTGTTGGGCCACTTCAAACAGTGAGGCCTTTTTTTTTTTGGCTTTCTATATAATTTTTTTTGGTTAAGTCTTTTAATAAAGTTGCTTTTTTCCTTGTTTTGGTTATTTTTGGTGCAGGTTTGTTCACGGGTTGTTTTGTGTCATTGTTTAGTGTATACGCAATATTGGCTCATCTGTCCGGCATTTTTTCCCCCACCACAGAAACTGCTTACATGGATACCGTCTACCCTGTTTTCAGGTGCTTGTTTAAGTGTTATTACTAAAAATTGTAACAGAAAACCCAATATGGATACATAATCTAACTAAATAAGCAAAATAAATAAATAAATAAATAAATACACATAGGGAATAATACATAGTATAATGTATGTGGGTATGTTTTGTATGTATCCCTGTTAGAGTATGTTAGAGCGCGGTGGGTTTGTGGTCACACGTTTGAGTGTTGAGTTACCCCTTAAAGTGTATGAGATGTAATCTTAGCGCTTGATGTAAAGTGCTTGGGACTATACCAACACGTACCCTTACCGTTAGCACATTCAATCGGATTAGGGTGATGCATCCGGGGGTTGGGCCTATTTCTACGGCCTTGGGCGAGCATTCCTATCAGCGTGTATGGAGGGCCCTCAAGGGGTATGCCAATATTGGTTGCCCCCTCCACAGACCTTTTCTCTTTAGCAATATATATATATATATATATATATATATATATATATATATATATGAGAATCCAGATTGATTCTAATCAGCATAACTAAAGAGCTAATAGTGCTATCATTTACGTATTCCTGGATACATAGCATTGCATTCAAAACTGAAGATTACCAATAAAACTCTTCAGTTTGTCATCTGGCATATTGTACATGGAAATCAATAAAATGAAACTCTAATAAAAAGCGTTCTCAATACAGATTTACCTCAAATCTTAAGAATCTTAAGATGACACATATTTCATTTGATAAAAGGGGTTTGAATATTGTGCAGCGTGTTTGCATTGCTAAGCTTGCACTTATTCATGTATGGATGCAACCTTTTCATGTGGAAGAACACAAGGATCAACTACAACTTCATATTTGAATTCGCGCCTAGTACCGCGCTTAAGTACCGGGACGCCTTCCTGATATGCACAACCTTCATGACTTTAGTTGTTGGGGCAATGGTGGTCCACCTGATCTTGAGGGCCAGTGGCTTTTCCCCAAGCCAAGTTGACACCATTCCTGGGATTCTTCTTTTGGTTAGTCTTGTTATTTTCACAATCAATGTTACTAAATTTGTAAAACAGGACTACCAACTCAAAAGCTCCTTATGTAGATAGTAGTAAATAAATTAAACTAACTTTGAATTGCACTTCTTCAGGTTTTTATCGCCCTGCTCATTTGTCCATTTGACATCTTCTATCGCCCAACTCGATATTGCTTCATCCGCATAATTCGGAACATAATTTTTTCTCCATTTTACAAGGTATGTTTAGTAGGATACTGTTTTATTATCTAAGGTACCATTAAAATTGTGTCTTTGTTCTTGTACTTCTTTAATGGTTTGTGATGCATTTTTGTGCAGGTTTTGATGGTGGACTTTTTCATGGCTGACCAGCTTACTAGTCAGGTACTAACTCGGAAGCAACTTTTTGTATAAGTATTAACTATCAACAACGTCATGAGTTTATGTTTAATTTTTGGTGTTTATTTGAACAACCTAATTGTCTTTTTTGTTTGTAGATTCCTCTGCTAAGACACATGGAAACAACAGCCTGCTACTTCCTTGCTGGAAGTTTAAAAAAACATCAATTTGAAACCTGCAAATCAGGGAGGTTGTTCAATGAGCTTGTTTATGTCATATCATTTTTGCCATACTATTGGCGTGCTATGCAGGTAAGTCCCGTCAAATGCCGCAGATCATGAACTTTTAAAGTCATTTTCACTTTGCCTTATAAAACTTTCAATTATCCTAAACTTAGCCCCCCCTTTATTAAAAATTTAGTTAAAAAAATTGACAATTATCCTAACCTTAGCCCCCCTTTATTTAAAATTTAGTTAAAAAAATGACAGGAAAAGAGAGGGGATTAGTCTCAATTAACCTCTTTTATAAAAATTTATGTTGAAACCAAACAGGAAAATACCACACGACCGCACTTTTTCACCTACTTTTTCTATCCGTTTTTAACATAAATTCTAACATATGGGTTTAAGTGAGACTAATTCATAATCAGAAGACAAAGTGAGTTTTTAAAGTTCAAATTAACAGAGTGACAATGACCCTAAAATTGAGGAGCATGATTAAAATAATCCCAATTGAAAATTACTCAAATTGTAGTGAGCATCTGAGCAATTCTTATGGCTTTAGAAAACTTGTATATCCAAATGTGACAAGAATTTGGAAACCAATAAGATATTTTTCAGTACCACTTCCAAAGTGAACATTTTCTTTCTTATAATCCAGTTAACATTTTTTTTTTCCTGTTTTCAAATGTGACTGAAGTGTGCAAGACGATGGTTTGACGAATCTGATCCGAACCATTTGGCTAATATGGGGAAGTATGTATCGGCCATGGTGGCAGCCGGTGCAAGGATAACATACTCGAGCCGGGGTCACCATAACCACTTATGGTTTTCAATAGTCTTGGTCACTTCTGTGGTGGCTACAGTCTATCAGCTGTACTGGGATTTTGTCAAGGACTGGGGTCTTCTCAATCCAAAGTCTAAAAACCCCTGGCTTAGAGATGATTTAATTCTCAAGAATAATAGCATCTACTATATGTCCATGGTAAATTTTCTAATTAATCTTTGCACTAGAACCTTGGAGCAGTTGGAAATGGTCTTATTCGCCTCATAAAAGCTATATTACTTGGGCGAAAAAGAAAATCTGATATGGATGGTGAAAGTGAATTGTAGGCCTTGAATGTTGTTCTAAGAGTGGCTTGGGTGGAAACGGTGATGAACTTCCGTCATGTTGGCGCCGTTGAATCGCGGTTGCTAGATTTTCTCTTAGCTTCGTTGGAGGTCATCCGCCGCGGCCATTGGAATTTTTACCGGTAATTTTCTATCTCACATCTTCAAGGCTTGCAATATGAATTTGAAGACAATAAAATCATGTAAACAGAAGATTTCCTTCATTGAAAGAAAATTTTCCATATTTGAACAGGATAGAGAATGAACATCTGAACAATGTGGGCAAGTACAGAGCTGTGAAGACTGTTCCTTTACCATTCAGAGAGACAGATTCTGATGGCTGAGATTGATTTCCTGCATTGTATGCGTAAAATATCCCGAAAAAGCCGGTTTAAGGGCGGACCGAAACCAGAGGGGGATTCCACATTTTCTGGTAATATTTGAGTGTGATCCCGCCACTGCTTCATGTTATCTCAGAATATTTATGTCTAAGGCGCCAAGTGTTAATGATCAAGAAAGTGCCTGCTCAATAACACCCTCCCTTTTGTACATCTTGGCATTCTTAACAATGGATTTGCTGCTAATGAATAACGTATTGTATTATATATTTATGAAAAGCCTCGTCTTTTCTCAAACTCTTTTTCTTTTCTTTGTGTGTCAACTTCTTCACGTTTTGGAAGCCAGAAAATTAATGTTTTTGTGCAATAGTAGAAATGGTCTTCTAATTCATTAAAGAAAAGAAAAAAGAAATCTTGCAACAACATTCTGGAATGATACTTTTTACACATTTACATTTTAGCAGAAACATATGCATCTGCTAAAATTGTATTTATAATGAAACTCTGCCACCAAGTTTTCAACCAACTCTTTACACGAAAATCAATCTTACTTCCGTTAACCGCACCGTCTTCCCAAAGACTCTGCGATCTTCTTCGAAAGACAGTAAGCGGTTGATTGGATTGTGATCATTGGATTGACACCAACAGCACTTGGAAGAACACTAGCATCACAAACAAATAGTCCTTCTGCTTCCCAACTCTCTCCATTCTCATCAACAGCACCTTCCTTTTCATTTACCCCCATCCTGCAGCTTCCGAGCTGGTGAGCTGAACCATAGTTTGTCCAGCACTCCGACATCTCCATCGCCCCTCCAACGGCGTAAACCGAGTCCAAAAACTCATCCAATTCATTCTTATTTATCCCCTTGCACTTGATCCTCTGTCCATCACTCCTGTGAGTCCCAACTTCAACTGCTCCAGCCGCTACTAGTATCCTCAAGGCTTGTCTAAGCCCTGCCGTCATGTTCTCTTTGTCTGTATCATCTAATTCAAAGCTCACCCTTCCTTCCTTCTTGACCTCTCCAGAGCCACGGTCGCGTATAATCGTGATCAAATGTGCGGTTCTTGAGTACTTCATCATCCTGTTTTTCATGTCAAGGCCAGATGTCCAAGGAACAAGCGCTGCGTAGGATGCAGGGCCTAATGCAGGCGTTTCTATGATGGCCATCACTCTGGAATCCTCTGAAACCACCTTGTGAACCGACGTGATTATCCCTCCCTCATAGCATTTCCCTTTGAAATCAGAATTCGATTCGGGGAAGTACCCCCACGACATTAGCACGGGATGAAGATGAAGATTCCTTCCAATATTTTTATTCTTCAATCCACTTGAAATCATCAAAGGAGGAGTGTAAAGCGCACCACAGGCTGAAATTGTCACTTTGGCCTCAATTTGCAGCCTCCTTTGAACACCATTTCCCCCACTTTTCGCAATCACCCCCAAGCACTTTTTCTTTCTTTTGGCCCCATTTGAATTCTTCTCCAACACAAATCTCTCAGCTTTGCAACCACTCAATATAACGGCACCATTTTCAACAGCATCCACAAGCCATGTCAAGTCAGTCCCTTTCTTGTCACCGCTTCTACAACCGAAACCGCAAGAGCCGCAGTAGTGATTCTCGGATGAATTTCTCGGAACAAAGTCAACCTCAAGGCCAAGATTCTCACACCCTTTTCTCAAAACTTGATTCTGAAACCCCTCCTCTTGACACTTCTCAGTAACACCAAGCCTCTCAAACACAATGTCCATAGCCGAATCATACTCCGAGCTCCCAAACAGAGAAATCCTGTTCTCCTCTGCCCATTCATTGAGAACAGACTTTGGAGTCCTTATTGAAGCTGACCAATTCACCACTGAGCCTCCCCCAACCGCCGTGCCCGCCATGATCGCCATTTTCCCACAAAGACTAGCAAAAGTCCCTCCATTTTCATACAACTCATCACTAGAAGGACCTTCTGAGGAGGAGTAATCTGAGGGAGTGAAATAGTTTCCCTTCTCAAGTACAATGACCCTTTGGCCTGAGGAGGGCCGCCCGCCACGCCTCCACCGCAGCCAGAACCAACGATCACGACGTCGCATTTGATCTTGTAGAGGTTCTGTTCAGTGTCTTCTGTGACGTTTAGGCCTTTCAGATGTAAAGAATGCAGAAGTGTTGAGTCTGTTTTGTATATGGTTTCTATTATTCCTTTCTCTAGAGGCCTTTCTTTGGGGGTTTTGGGAAGGATTTCTTCACTCTTTATGTTGTATCCAATGGCTTCATATGTTTGGTTTTCTCCATTTTCATCGAGCTGCATGTTGCATCAAAAAATTAAGATTTGAGAAATGAAATTCAGAAAACTTTAATCTAGATTACGTTCATAAAACAATAAAACAAATTTTTAAGTTAATACTAATTATTAATTCTACTTTGTGACCCATTGGGTGCTAAAGTTGTAATGTGCCACCATCTGATCAGTAGTCAATGACTAAATAATAAAATTGTTTTTTTTTTCTTTAAAGTGGGTTTTCAAAAATTTTGGTTTCTAGAGGGTAATTTAGTAAAGTCAATCAAGAATTAATCTCAATTCTGACCCTAAAGAATACTAAGGAAGAAATAATCTCAATTCTGACCCTAAAGAATACTAAGGAAGAAATAATCTCAATTCTGACCCTAAAGAATACTAAGGAAGAAATAATCTCAATTCTGACCCTAAAGAATACTAAGGATCCGTTTCCTTCATATATTCAAACTCAAATCATTGATTCTATTTCATATATTCAAACTCAAATCATTGATTCTGCTATAGTGTTCTCACAAAAAATTTAAATTTCGAACGTCAGAATCAAGAAGCATGATTGAGTATACCTTTCAAAACAATCCTAAGTATTCTTTTGGGTCCAGATTAGAGGTCAAAATTGAGATCAATTCTTGATTAATTTTATTTAATTATCCTCATTAAAAGTGTCATTTGCACCTCACATGTAAATTCCATCCATTTTTTATGGTTTTATAGCGGATATAAAGTTCAGAGACCATTAGTATAACACTTAAGAGTTTAAGGGGCAAAGTGAAACAACGAATATTTCTCAAGAATCAAAATTGAAATTAATTATTTTTATTTTGATGTGATTTTGATCAGATCCAATCGACATCACAAGTATAAGGCCTATTATAGAAGGATCCTTAAGTAATTAGAAAAAGGTAGGAGGTGAATGAAATTGTGATTCTTATAACTAAACGATTTGCCAAATATTCAACATGGTAACTGTTGTGGGGGAAAATATGGAGGACGCGTGGAAGAATGACAATATGACACGTGACCTTAACTTCTCCTCGCGTAGCAACAACCCTCGACGTCTGGGACTCCCTTCCATTCCGTTGCAAAGGGCCCAAGTAAGAAGTCCAACTTAGGGTGTCGATTTCATCTAGCGTCGACAGATCGTACCGTCGACCTTACAACATAAAAATCCATCGTCATAAAATCGACCGCCAAGAAGGACAACTGGGCTAAACAACACTGGCGATGAGGGGAATGCTCCTTGGGGGAAAGCCTGACATGGCAAGTTGTGTACAGTAACGGGGGATGTCTGCAATGCAGGCATTAATTGCAAACCCTTGAACCGCCCCACAAGGGACAGAAAAGGGTTACAGGTACGCACAGAGCCGTAATAGGAGACTAAATTGGCTGAGTGAAGAGTCCTCCAAGTGATTAGTGGGCTACGTATGGGCTTAAAAATGAAGAGCACTTGAGTGCTTCTGCCTACAAAGGAAACCCATCCAGCAAAGCGAAGGAAGCTCCTATATAAAAGAGGCAAAGCCCCATATAGAAAGGGGGTTCACGTCCAAAAAAAAAAAGAGAAAAAAGAACAAGAGAGCGATTGATGTAAATTGTAATCACCTCAAAAGGAATATACAACCACAGTGGATGTAGCTCTGATTTTACAGAGTGAACCACTATAAAATCTCTTGTGTTCCTTTACTTTAAAGCATTATTCTTCCAAATTGCTCATCCCTCTAAAAACATCAAACACCTTCGGCACAAAACTCTTACATATAACATATATTAAAGCGGGTAATCCGACGGGAAACCTAGAGGTAACCCAGCCTGTTTTTGTTGACGAAAATTCACCGTCAACGGTAACCATCATGGTTTTTTTGTTTAAAAAAAAAAAGAAAAACTCATGTTTGTTTTTTATGCTAATCAATGTGTATAATGGCTGATTGCCATGTTTAAAATATATATATATATATATATATATATATATTATGAGTACTCAATACATTAAAAGCTAACACTTAAAATATTTTTTTTCAATCAAATTAATGGCCTATTTACAATGTATACTCAAACTATGATTCTTAATTTTGATGTTTGAAATTCAAATTTTTTCGTGAGAAGAAAACATTATAGCATAATCAATGATTTGAGTTTGAATATAAGGTAATCTTGACAAATATTTTTTACTCTTAATTCATAACATTTTTAATCAAATAATTACATTAATAAAAAGATATTTATCAAAAATAAGGATAAATGTCTAAATTCGTGCACCATCAATGGTAAATTCTCTAATTTTTCTTGAGTTGTTTATATGAAATAAATGGGCCCTAAAATGTTCACGAAAGAATGGGTAAGAACCTACCCATACAAAAATTTAAAACACCCCCAATTACAACAACAACAAAAAAGGAGAAAAAATCAACTATAGCATTTCTAAGGACAAACTATATTCATTTCATCTTAAAAATTAAGAAATCATGCGGAAGCCCCATAAGCTTTAATGCGCTTGTCTTTTCCATTTTTTTTTTTTTTTCTTCTTTTACTTTTTTGGTTGGTTGCGTAAACATTAATGATCAGCTCCTTAATTCATTTGTGTGATGTGTATGAATTCAAGCCCATAAGTTTGCGCATGGACACATGACCACATTTGGCCACCAAAGTAAGATGGACCATACGCCTAAATCTAATGCATTTAATCATATCCCCGAACCCAATAATTAGAGGATGATGGTAACTTAATGAAAATGTTTCATCTACTCATTTACATCATCTCTAGAATATAGTTTCATTTATCCCAAAGAAAAAAAAAAAAAAAACGGAATATATATAAGAATAAGATTCCCAATTATTTATTAAATCAAATAGGTCTACACCATCCAACAGTTGGATATTTCAGGACAATTAAAAAAAAACGTTATTTATCAACTAAATTACCATAGATGTGACAGCACTGTACAAAATTACTATATAATAGAATGGCACGTAGTTTAATATATATATATATATATATATTTGCTGCAAAAATGTAAGTTTAAGGTTCTGATTTTCTCAATAGATTCTTTGATTTTTTTTTTTTTTTTTTTGTGGGCTCATCTTTTGAATGTTACTTGAGATCATATATAGTGAATTGGAATACCATAGGAAGATATTTGAAAACGATTTCCAAAAGTTACATCTAACTGCCCCAATGCAACTTGTTTTCATTTAATTGTACCCCTGCCTACTTCTTTGACTGAAATATGTTAGAATATCGAGCAGTCTACTGAAGAAAAGAAAACAAATAAGTTTCAATATGTAATATTAATAAATTTAAAAAAAAAAAAAGGGTTAATATTATGCCCTAAAAACAATACTTAAGCATGGTTGCACTTCGGGATAGCGTAGCGGTAATTTTATATTTAATTTCATTTTAAAATGTAGTCTAAATTCCAATTCCTAAATTAAAAAACAAAAATAGTACTTAATTATTATTTATTAAAAACAGTTAAGTATTTCTTTTTCTTTTCTTTTTTTTTTTTGCTGGAAAAAAAAATTTCTTGACAATCTAAAAGTATCCTTTCATGATCATGAAGTAAGACTTTATAAGAAGTAAGAGACATAGGCAAAAGGGAAAAGCGAAAAGAAGAAAAAGAGGTAATTAAAGGAATTTTTTTTTTTTTTCAAAACTTTAAAGTAGCAGATGAGGAGAGTTAATACAAGCGTTAAAAGGGAATTTAAGAGGAAAATAAGGAATCCTTACACAATGAGAGATAGAGGAAATGGAATGAATTATTGCTATGACATTCCGACTATTTTTGTTGCCTTTATCAGTTATCATAAAGAGCACTTCACCACCATAAAAATCAATTCCTTTGTAATGGATGAGAAATGAGCTAAACAATAATTGGCGTTCTTAACTTCCTACCTAAGTTTTTCTCCGTTAGGTTATAATTGATAAGAGATATTTTTAAGAATATTCCATCAAAATATATGTATTATTTACATATGGACTAGTTTTTAATAGTTACGTTTCCATTAGTGGTTACCATTAAATATATAAATTTGATAGCGTGGTATGATAAGAATCTAATTTCATTAAATTTTTGGTCAAATATCTAATTTATTACAACCGTTGAATTAATATTTTACAGCTAAAATAACAATACATATGGATGAATATTCGAGTAACCATTAAAACTATATATATATATAAAGAGATCCAATCTAAAAAAAATGACAAACTACAAGTTTAATTTCTCTTTAGCAAAACTTACAAGTTTATGTTATTTTCTCCCTTAGATTACGTAACCCTAATATGGGAATTGAGAGGGAGAAAACTACAAAAGTCAAGTAACTTTCTTATATAATAAGTTGTTATACAGTTGGGGAATTTCCTCATTTTCCTTATTTTATAGATCATCCAAGCAAATTTTTTTTTCTTTTAGCAAAAAAGTATATATGCACGTTTTACGTCATCAAGAAAAGGATCAGAAGAAGTACTAATTAAAAAGAGCAAATTAAGTCCCTCCGAATTAAGCTTAGCTTGTAAATGAACTTCTATAACGACAAGTAACATAACGAACTAGCATTTCTTTATCCATGCAATATAACAACTAATTGGTTTTTTTTTTTTTCTATTTAAAAGTTGAGAATTTTATGTTTCTTGATCACAAATGATTGTAATGTAATATAATAATTTAGAACTATGGTTTACCTATAGATATATAGTATTTTTTTCGATTTATAAAAACATAGAAGGAAAAGGAAATAAGTAAGAGAGAGAGAGAGAGAGAGAGAGAGTATTTAGTACCCGGGAGAAGAAAGTGTGGAGGCAAACGACTTTGATGTAAAGAAATGCAAGCCTAATGGGAGTCAAAAACTTGTGTCTTAACCACTTTTGAAGCACTTTTTCTCTCTTCTCCAACGGCATGCGTGAGAAATTGTGAATGAAAGTCCATTTCTCACAAAAACAAAGAGGCCCACAAAGCAGAAGAGTCCCAAGCCGAGTGGAAAGCAACAATAAGAGCAATTTCACTATTAAGAATCCTTCTATTATGGCCCTCCTCACTATAAACTCTGCCACCTGTCCTCCTCATCAGCATCATCATCATCATCATATCAATTGCCTTGCTAAAATTTTAAACTATATATTTTTTCCCTTAATGAATTGATTAATTAATAAAAAATAAACTCATCAAAATGTCTATGTACAGGGAATTAACCTAGATAGGAAATTCCAATTTTTCCACTTAACTAGTTTATCTGGTTGGGTGACTCATATCTGAATTCTGACAATTTTTCCACATTGTAAATATTAAAAAAAAAACAGCAACATTTGATAAGATAGACGACCAAATAAAAATGTGCCTGACACCATAATCTATATCCGATGAACACAATTTTAAACCGTTAAGTTCTCAATAAATTTGATTAAAGTAGCATACTTTAATTAATTATGCTGTAAGTTTGACTATTGAAACTGCGTCATTTTTTTTTTCTCCTTTTTCACATCCTACAGAAAATTCCCCCGTATTCAGTAAAGATGTGAATGATTACTGATCAAATAATTTGAGAGAGAGAGAGAGAGAGAGAGAGAGAGAGAGAGAGAGAGTAATTGTTTGTGTAATTATACCTCATGAGGGATGGGATTTTGAGAAGCAGAAGAAGAGTAGAAGGACTGCACAGCCTTAGAAGGAGGGTCTTCTTTCCCTTCCAGAGAATTCAAGGGCAAAGGAGGTATGAAAGCCTCACAGATGCTTGCAAGTGACTCCATCTCTGCTGCAGAAAAACCATGGCTCCATTTCTCCTGCTTTCTCTCTCCTCCTAATCCTATTCTCCTTTCCCTCAACAATGGATGACACTCCCTTCTCATCTCTGTCTTTCTCTCTCTAAAAATGAATAGTAATTATTATAAATAACAATGATAATATAATGTGATTTCTTGTGGATTATGCAATAGGCTTTTGAATTGGGACACAGTTATATAGGAGTCATGAGGAAGTAACAGAGAAGTTTCCTTTTTAAGTATATATATATATATATATATATATATATATATTGTTTTAACACTGCAGTAATCAATGATCACAACAAAAAGACATGAATAACCTCTGCAACACTATTTAAGTTCATTTATTCTAGTACTATTGATCTTTCCACTTCTCATTTTCTGTTACTTAGCTATAGCTACCTAGCTAGAAGGTGACTTTATTCAATTTCAACTCCTTTTTATCTTCATGATTTATCCATATCCATATGGCCGTGAAGGAATTTAATTTTAGGTCCTTTCTACGTTGCATCGATACGGTGGGGTTAGAAAAACTAGTTGAAGAGACAGGAGCATGATTGAATTAAGGAAGTTTTTTTTGTAGGATTGATGAGTGAGTATTTTATTTGCAAATAAAGTATTTTGAGTTTGTGTATTTACTTCAAGTATTTTTATTAATTTAATGTATTTTTATTTTGTTTTTGTAAGTGAAGTTAAAATGGAATTAAATGAGCAAAAATTTGACTTTGGAACATACTTTAATATTTAGGGCATGACTCTCTTATTTGAAGTCCAAATAAAGTTATCTTAGTGGCTTTGAAAAGATAAGAGAAAGAGTTACAACTTTCATGAAAACACTAAAGACTAATTCAGCCATATAAAAGGTGAAAATCCTTCTCAAAATTAGACACCTGCTGTAGAGGAAAATCATCCGCTGCAATGGATTTCCTGCCCGAGAGCAGGAAAACTACACACCCGCTGTAACGGGAAATTCATCTGCTACAGTGGGTTAGCCTGTGCCATTAGGGTTTTTCAAAAATCCTAAACGGCACTGCAGCGGAAAAATGATTCGCTGCAACGTTTCCACGCATGTTGCAGTCATTTTAAGGCCTCTTTTGTACTGATTTTGAGGACGTATAAAAAGGAAATGTGTTGAGAATCAGAGGGGCTCTTTGGAGACCCAAAACCCTAAAGAAGAGAATACAAGGATTCAATGGCTTGCTTGAAGATCCGAAGGAAGATTGAAAATTGCGGAGCTTGATTGATGTCTAGTTTTTCATTCTCTCTCTTCTCCTATTTTAACTTTGAGTTTGTGTTATTCTCTGCGATTTGTGATTGATTATGGATTTTGTTTTTGGTTTGTTTATGCATTTTGATTTCAGATTCTTGTTGTCTTGTTCTAACTAAACTCTTAGAGTTAGGGACTTAATGTAGTTTTAACGTTGTTATGCTTTGAATATTCAAAGTGCTTGTTATTGTGATTTTCACTTCAATTCATTTGTGTTTTTCTATGTTAATTGTTCTAATTATTTTTTCATGATTTAGAGATATAGTTATAGATGTGTGAATTTAGGCTAGAAGAGTTACTTTCACTTGTTGGGATTTGGGAAACATAACCTAAAGTTAATTGAGTTCGGAGGTCAATTAATTCGGGTAGTCAAAGATGCTTGATTCGGTTAGGTTAATAGGGATATTGCTTAATTAGTTTTACATACTATTTTACTCGGCACTCAGGAGAGGGAGTGAAATTATTTTCGATAACCTAGATTAATGAGTGAAATAAATTGACGAGCCTAAGAATTGGATATCAACATAGCTTAGTAGAAAGAGATGAAAACCCCTAGCCATTTTATTATATCAGAGTTTCCTTCAATCTTCATCTCCAAATTGCACTTTTATTATTTAGTTATTTCTTTTAGTTATTATTTTTATTACTTTGCTTTGTTCGTTACTTATTCCAGTCGTTTAAATAATCTTAGAGCTGATCAACTTCAGTAATTAACGAAAATTAAACACATTTCTCGTGGGATCGAAACTCTTATTCATATTTTATTATTTGAGGCGACTTGTGCACTTGCGAACATAAATTCGCACATCAAGTATCAAAAAAATGAACTACTGATATTTTTTTATTTTTCATTCATTAAGTCTGTTTAAAAAATATTTATTTTACATTATTTTTAATATGATATAATTTTAACTTAATTAAATAGTTAAAAAGTGGTAATGTCGGTAAAAAAAAAAAAAAAAAAAACCTTACCGAAACAAGTCCCTTGAATTAATAAGGTGAAATAAGTAAATAAATATAGAATTTTAAGGAAGCAAAATATGAATTATATAAAATTTTGTATACCAAATTAAAAAAAAAAAATTTAGGTGAGGCGGCCGCACACTCTTAGCCATAAGTGGTTCTACAACTCATATAGTCTATTAAGTAACCCAATGACATTGCTTATGAAAGAAGAAATAAATGGTTTTTTTTCTGCTTTTTCTTTTCTCTATCTTTTAAATTTGTGAAGTAAAAATAGAAAAAGGGCAGTTTCGTTTGGTCACGATTTCATAACAAGTCATTACCAAATGCGTACGTGCCACATGTACAAGCCACGATCAGATTGCCATTTGCCCCAGCCGACAGGGAATTAAATATTTTACTAACCAATATAACCAGTTTCTTGATTTCCCATCTGATATTTGCATATTCATAATCAGTCATAATGCCAGCTCTACATCTTATGCACTTCTTTTTCGGTCCAAATGGTAGATAAGGAGTTTTGCCTTCTTGGGACACAATCAAAGAAAAGAAAACTCTAGTAAGTACTGCTAAATTAGGGAAAATAAGAAAAATACTACTTAAAGTATATAAGTCTAGATTTTTACTCATTACTCTTTATAAATTTTTTTTTAATCACATAATTATATTAATCAAAAGAATTTTAATCAAAAGAATTTTAATCTTTTTTTTTAATCACATAATTATATTAATCAAAAGAATTTTAATCAAAAGTATAAGATAAAAGTCTAAACTCATGCATTATAACGAAATATTCAACAATTTTCTTGCTAAAAATTACGATGGGCTTGGTCGCGGTGGTATGGCCTAATTGGCCTAGCTAGAAATGTATAAAATTTTGGCAAAAACTAGTTGATAGAGTGTAACACCTCGAGAAATTAAATAAGATTAATTATGATAATTGAGATTTATTAGTGTGCATAATCTTGTTTAATTAATTAGTTGTGTTCATTAAATGTTTTTAATATGTAAGTTTAAATGTTTTTAATATGTAAGTTTAAATGTTTCTAAGCAATTTAAATATTTTCAGTCTTTATATTTTCACCCTAGAAATGTGTTGAGACACATTTTCTGATCTACTTTCTTAAATATCCTTAATGTTTATCTTTTTACTTTTTCTTTTCTCCTTTTTCTTTCTTTTTTTCCTTCCTTTTCCCGTGACCTCTTTCTCTCTCTCTGTCGTTTTTCCCTCTCGCTCTCCCTCTCTCTTATTTCTCTCATTCTCTCCCGTGGCTCTCTCTCTCTCACTCTCCTCAAAATTTGTGAAAACTTTCAAATCTTGAACCAAAGAGGAGCTTTAATAAGTTTTTAACGTCAAGGGAAGGATTTTGGGTAAGATTTCTGAAAAACTTCTCTTGAATCTCAAATTTTTTCGTTAGAAAAACCTATTTTTACTTTAAATTGGACTTTGATGGATTTTGGGTAAAATCACGATGAAAATTGGGGAAAATTGTTCTTTGGGCTTGATTTAGTAATTAGAACTTGAATTTGGTAGTTTTCCCTTGAAATATCTCAGATTGGAACTTAGATTTGCAGGTTTTGATCATATTTTCTTCGGATCGGCCATGTCGGCCATCCTGTGCAGCTCCCACCGGTCGGCCGGTTTCCTCTCCACCGGCCGACCAGTGGAGAATAACTTCTCTGTCACCGGTCGATTGGTGTACACATGATTTGAACCGGATTTGCCTTAAAATGTTGTTTTGACCCTGATTTTCAAAGAGAACCTAAATTAGCTTCATTTGGGAATCTAAAGTAGGTGGATTAGCATCCTTAATCCATGTTTTGATATCAAAATCCTTGGAATGATGATTTGAAACATGAAATGATTTATGAACTTGGAATTAGATTAAGGCACACTAATAGGAAATCAAAGTGCACAATTGGGATTGATTTGCTTTAGGAATGAGAATTGAATCTTAAAGCGTTGTTTTGTTTCAATGCTAGTTGAAGAATCGGATTGAAGGCTTTGAGGAAGTGGAAGCCGGGATAGCGCAATGCTAGTAACAAGTTTGGCACTTGAGAGGTGGATTTCTTGTCCTTTTTTTTTTATAGCCTGTTTTAAAGAGTTTTGGCCTTATAAATGTTTTAAAGAGAATGACAAGTTTATGAAAGAAAAGCATTTTAACACAATAGCTTGATTTTAGCTATTGGAATCATAATGAACTATTTCAGAGTTTTAATGAATAATTTCTTAAGATCAGATATCTTGCGAACTGCTAAGCCTGTTGATGGCCTAGATAGGATATGCATCGAGTATCCTCAGGGGCAGAACCCGGAACCCAGACCGGGCCACTATGGTGGTGTTAAGGCTTGTGCTTGTGGTTGTGTAAGTAATTTATCATAGTATAAATTACTTGATGATGCTTGTAATATGGAATTTATAGTTTATACTTCCTTTCAGAAAACGAGATGTTAGGTTCTGGTTGTTGTGTTGGAACTGAATATCTTTATTTACTTACTCATTCACTATTTACTTGTTTATAAAGTTTATTTCAAAATATATCCTACTATGCCTTCTGCTCACCTTTTTCTTCTATTTCTATAAATATTAAACCCCTCCCAGACAACGCTAGAAGCAGCGCTAAGTAGTTGAATTAATTGCTACCGTCTAATCAAGTGAGGACATTGCGCTCTTCCATCCTTGTGTACAAATGTAAGGATTGTAAATTCTAAGACTCTAAACTTTAAATTTCTAGACTGTGGTTGATGACTGTAAATGTTATTTACATGTTCATGTATGTACAATATTGTATATCCTGTGGGTGAACCCTGAATGATGCCAGAGGCTTAGTTTTAAACTTGTTTTTTAGAAAAGTGTGAAAGACCCCATCGTTTTCTTGTAATTTACTTTCAGTAAAATGTGGGGCTTGTTTATAAATTTCTTTATTATTTTACTTTCGGTTTGGATTACTATATTCTCAAATGCT